CCTATCCTCCAGTCCAACCCATGTACCCCGACCCCTTGTTCTGTCCCAAATCCAAGATCTCTGTTTATCATATCTCTTGTTTTACTCCTGATGAGAAGAGCAATAATATGTATCCGTTTTAGGATTGTAATCACTAAGCAAGCAATAAAACTAGCTTCTACAGTTCAGCAGAAACACTTTCTGCTAACTTTCTTGGAAGCAAGGTTGCGTCAAAGATTATACCCCCAAACACCAAGAATTTAATGTGTTCTAACATTCCATGAATTAAATAAACAAATAAATGAATGAATTTAGTTTGCTACAGCAGAGAAAACTTGAGTGGAGAAAAAGTATTCTTGGGCCTGGAGAGGTGGCTCAGCAGTTAAAAGCACTGGCTGCTTTTGCAGGGGACCTGAGTTTAGTTCCTAGTGCCCTCAAAACCATCCTTATCTCCAGTTCCAGTGGGTCTGATGTCCTCTTCTGGCCCTGTGGGCCCCAGGATTGCATGTGGTACACATACATACATGTAGGCAAAACAATACATGCAATACAAGAAAAAGGCATGCTTAAAAATACGATTAGCACTTACATTCCTTAGGTCTGTCTCATAATTTTCCATCTGATCTTATATACTGTGAGTAAAATATATTTTCAATGTAATAATTCAAATAAATTTATATGATTTTCATAGGGACAAAAGAAGATACATAAATCCTACATTACCAACTAAAGATAACCATTGTTATCTTCTTGGTTGTCCAGTCTTATTGTATGTGTCTATACAAATATATATGTAACAAAATTAAATTATGGTTTGGGGGAGGTTGTTTTGTTTGTTTTGGTTTTTGAGGCAGGGTTTCTCTGTCTAATAGCTCTAGCTGTCATGGGACTCAATTTGTAGACCAGGCTGGCTTTGAACTCACAAAGATCCACTTGCCTCTGCCCCATGAATACTGAGATTAAAAGGCATGCCTTAATGTTGCTTTGTGACTTGTTTGAATGACAAAAATAATCACAACAACTTTTGAAATATAAACAAATGATAACTACTCAAAATGATATAAGTCTAAAATAATAACAAATGTTATTAATCACCTATCTGGTTCTTTCTGTAATGCCTATTCTTCTATTGGGGACAGCATACTCTTGTTATAGGTGATAGTAACTGTGTATTTTCTATCAAAGAAAACCAGAAAAGTAATTTCTTCACATAGGATCAATCAAACTTTGCTCCTCAATCTTTATTTCTTGAAATCCTTTGTTTTTTTTTTTTAGAATAGTTTGGGTTTGTATAAAAATTGTTGAAGTTCTACGAGTTGTCAAAGCCCCTCTGTTGGTATATCTGCAGAGTGTACTCTGGTTGGTGTCATCACTAGAACTTGAATTTGGTACCATTGATGAACATATCTTGTTCCCCAGCCTGTAGCTGACATGGGCTTCATCCCTGGTTGTCTTATGTTCATGTCATGACTCTGAATTGATGCCCTGAGCCCTGCACACCTATCCCTCTTTACAGCTGGGCACCTGCTGGTCTTCATGTTGTCTTCCTAGTAGTGGGAGTCACAGTCGGCAGCAATTTAAGATCAGCGTCCTTCATTCCTAATGTGTTCCAGTTCCTCACTTGTCTTTTCAGAGCTTGCTTGCTACTTTTCTTTTTAATGCAGTCCTTTTCCACTTTGCATTGCCTGTTAACTATTTTGTGTCATTCAACAGACCCTTGTCTCCAAGACACTAAGTGGTCTGGTGAAGGTGGCCAGGGAGATGAAGTAATAAACTTGGGCAAGGAGAATGGGATGTCTAAGTGCAGCAGGGCACAGGTACTTGCAGTGTGCTCTCCCTGAGGGTGACACCTAGGGTATAAGATACTGTCCTCAGACTGGAGTAGTAGTTCAGAAGTTAAGTGTACTTGCTTCCAGAAGACCCAGGTTCAGTTGCCAGCCCATATGGTGCTTTACAGCCATCCATAGCTCCAGTTCCAGGGAATTCAGTGCCCTCTTCTGACCTCTAGGCACCAGGTATACATGTGATGGATATGGGTAGGAATAACACACACACACACACACACACACACACACACACACACACACACACTGTTCCTTTCATCATTAAGTGTTATTACTCAGCATGGATAAGAACTCATAAGACAGGATAATGTAATCTAACATGATCAAATGCTAAATTATGAGCATTGGATTGTCATACCCCTAGTGTCTGAAGGAACAGGAACTTGGTGAGCACCACGATGCTTAAGGATGACACATTTGACTGGGCCCGGACATCTGTTAGGGAAGTTTAGTGAGGAGAGCAAGGTTGGGGGTGGCTATACTGATGCTTTTAATTCATAGGTACTCACTAAGTTCTAGTGAAATAAGAGTGAATGTGACTGAGTGAAGGAGAAGCCATGCACTTTAGTGCCGTGGATGCTAAAGGTCTGGCTACTCCAGTATGAGTGGAGGCATGAATTGGCGTACCTTCAGAAGACATTTTGCTCCATAGTATTTGCTAACATTGCACCTGAGAAGGACTGTGACCTAGAGTCTCCAGGAGGAGTCTACTTGAAGCTAAACGTGCCTGTGTTATGGAATATACACGATTAAACACTTCATAGAGTATGCATATTTAAGTGTTTTCAATTCAGTAATATATATGTCCAGAACTAGTCTGAGTGTTTTGTAAACACTATTTTTGTCACTATTCTTTAAGCTCAATGCTATTAGCATTATCACTGAAGAAACTGTCACAAAGTTGAACTTGAACAAAAAAAAAAAGTGTTAACATGCTGAAGCCAGGGTTAACCTGATTTGATTTAGTGGCCTTAACATGTATGTAGTACTCTCCACACTCACCAATAAAAATGAATGAACGTATAGGAGCAATACATAGAGCTCACCAGGCAGTGGTGGTGCACGCCTTTAATCCCATCCCTCAGGAGGCAGAGGCAGGTGGATCTCTGTGAGTTTGAGGCCACCCTGGTCTTCGGAGCGAGTGCCAGGACATTCTCCAAAGCTACACAGAGAAACCCTGTTTCAAACAACAACAACAACAAAAGCAAATACATAGAGCTGATGCCAGACTTCAAAAGCAAAAGAATTTTTCTCTCCTCCACATAGACTGTGTATACACAATCTCTGTTTAGAACTGTGCTGGAGCATTATCTCTGTGACAAAGAGGAAGAGACACATTCAGTTTTTTTTTTTTTTAGGTGTGTGTGTGTGTGTGTGTGTGTGTGTGTGTGCCCAGAGAAGAATTTTTATGTCCTATTCTTTTTTCTGTCCCATCCCCTTGAGACAAGGTTTTTCACTGAACCTGGAGCTGGACTGGCAGCTAGCAAGCCCCTCTGTCTTCTTATCTGTAGCCTGAACAGCACTGAGGTTACAGGCATGTGCCTGGCCACTTTGCTTTTTATATGGGTGATGGGGATTTGAACTCAAGTCCTTGTATTTGTATAGGAAGTGCTCTTACCCACCAAGCCATTTCACCAGCCCTATATATTTATTTTTATACCAAGAATACCGTGTACTATACTTTGTTTAAAAAGTAAAGTACATTTCCAAGTGGGAGAAGAGCCTTAATTAAAATAAGCCTGTTAGTCCCACTGCCTATGACTTATCCCAATAGTGACTCTGGGTTTAATGAAATCTTGACTGTGCCTAGCTGAAGCTTCTTTTCTTTCTCTGTGTAGATTCCTTTTCTTCCTTCTCTTCCTAATGTGACAGCAGGAGCATTCTCTTTAATATATCAAGCTGCTACTTGCCTGGTCTACATTTCCTGGCTGCTTTTAAATGCAGTTGATGGCAGTTTTATGAAGGCCACATGTAATTTTAATTGTGCAGGCCAATATGAAGCAGATGTAAGAACAGGTCAGAGTTGAGTCTGGTGACATTCATCCTGGATGGCACCCAGGACTGTCCACCTGGCCAGGAAACATTCTAGACTACCAGGAGAAGTTTGTTACTTAATGACTTTTGGAAACTACCTGTGATGATACTTACTTGCTGGCAGTACATGGGAAACAGAGTTGAAAGGTGGCACTTCCATGTCAGAGGGCCTTATTCAGTGTGTGAGTGGGCAGAGGGAATGTAAAACCATTTATGAAACAGAGATGGCCTTCTGAAGTCAGCCCACACTTATGTGAGGGTGATATGCTCAGAAAAGCACAGTGTCAGCCAAAAATGGCCTGAAGTTCCTTTTAGAAATTGCCCATAACAATGGTGTGTGTGACTGATCCATAGTCCACTGGTGCAAGACGAATGAGAGCAGCTCGATGGCTCATTGGGTCAGGGTGCCTGCTGTGAAGCCTGGCACTCGGTTATCCCAGGACCCACACGGTGGGGGAGAGAACTGACTTCTGTGGCACAGCACATCTGCACATACATTCCCACACAATAAGTACATCTAATAATAAGTTGTTTTTTTAAGATAAATTTAGTTGTATATTGAGGTCATCATGGCTTTATTTGAACTCAAAGTGATTCATGACTCAGGCCCAGGTCCCAGCTGGCCAGGGTTCCATAAAAGGGTCAGAGAAGAAATTGACAGAATGTTGTCCTTGTTAGAGAGAGACTTGATTAGTTAAAGTGGAGATTTGTTTGTTAGTGGCTTGTTTGCCAGTTTCTTATTGAATTTTGTTTACTTATGCAATAACCCTAGGTGCCAGAGCCACCTCTGTGGCCCTGTTAGCTTTTCAACATCAATATGAAGATGGTTTTTGTGTCCCCATCATCTTTATCCACTTCTAGTGTTGATCTGAGGTAGAATTACTACTGCTATCAACTCATCTCATTTTTATATTGGGCATTCTGTGAAGCCAGAAGAATGTTTGGTCTGTATTTTCTTATATTGCTAGATATTCTATAATATCAGTTACTTGTAAAGATTTATGAAACCCAGCTGATTTTAATTAAGTTTCTTGAGTTGGAGTTTTCTGTTGCATCTTTTTCAGGAACACACTATATAAAGCAGCAGTAGATAAATTTTCAGTGTATAACTTTGATATAACGGTTTTGGTTTCTTCCTGATAGGAACTGTCTAAGATCACAATGCCAGTCATATTTAACGAGCCTTTGAGCTTCCTGCAGCGGCTGACTGAGTACATGGAGCACACTTACCTCATCCACAAAGCCAGTTCGTTTTCTGACCCTGTGGAAAGGATGCAGGTATGTGACAGGGACCATGGAAGACGTGTAAGTCACCTCCTCCCCCACCCACCCACAAGCACATGCTCACACAGACGTAGATGCTCACACGCATGCCTGCTGCTATGAAGTCCAGATAGGGATAGGGTATTCTCAGAGTTTGAGTCTTTTGCCTCCAATTCCCCTGGCTGTCCTCTGGGAATTGTTGCTGTAGTGAAGACTAATGGGAATTTCAAGAGCCTCAGAAGGGGGTCATACAACCACACTTAGCTCTTGGAAGCTCTTTCCAAGTCTTCAGTTTAGAGGGTAGTATGTGCTGATGAGAAGATCGACATTTCTTATTTCAAACTTTATTGAGGATCTTCTGAATAAGACAAACACAAACACGTTTATGTTGGATGTATGCTCCAGCATGCCTATTCATAAGCACTCAAGTAAGAAGTTCAACTTTCTAATTTTCAAAATAAAAGAAGTTGGCATGGTGTACATGGGTGGCAAAACACCGGCCAAGTGCAATAGATGAAGTGCTCTTCCAGACAAAGCAGTGTCTTTCTAACTTCTTTGGTGTCTTAGCCAGGGTTTCTGTTCCTATAATAAAATACCAAGTCCATAAAATTCTTGGACACAAACACCGTCCACCACATCACAGCCCACCACTAAGAGAAGTCAGGAGCTGATGCAGAGGCCATGGAGGAGTGCTGCTTACTGGTTTGTTCCTTATAGCTTGCTCAGCCTGCTTTCTTGTAGGACCCAAGATCACAGCCCAGGGATGGCCCCACCCACAATGAGGTGGGACCCTCCCATCACTAACCAATCAAGAAAATGCACCATAGGCATTTTCTCAATTGAGGTCCCTTTTCCCAAATGACTCTAGCTTGTGTCAGGTTGACATAAGACTAGCCAACAAAATTGGCTTTTACACCAATTAAATTGTTTGGTTATACATCTCTTTTTCTGGATTCTATATGTGTAGTTGGTGCTCTGTGTCCATAGGTTATACAATCACAGATTGAGTCCACCTCAGATCCACAATGTGAAGAATAAAAGTATACCTTTAGCTAAATATGCAGACTTTGTCTTCACTATCATTCTGTGGAATAAATAACAGTTTTACATTATATTAGATACTATAACCACCTAGGGAATATGTGATCTATACAGAGGATGTGTAGCCGAAAGCATGCGCTATGCCATTTTATGACACTGGAGCATCCACAGACTGTGACATCTGGGGGGTGTTATGGCCAGTCCCTCTCAAATGCTGAGAGACACCTGAATTTAAAGTTTTTAGAAAGTTTTACATATTAGAAGCCATGTGTGCCTGAGAAGAGCACTATAGGAAGAGATCTGGGGACTTCCATTCTTGGGAGACAAGCTTCTCCAATAGCTTTAGAAAGCAATATTAAAACCTGAACTCATTAAGTTGCTCAGTGATTTTGTCAGCCACTGTCTTCTGTGAAGCAACGGTTCCTGAGAAATGGTAGCAAACTGGCTCTTCATTCCTGTGCAATGCTCTGCTCTCTTCCAGTGTGTAGCTGCGTTTGCTGTGTCTGCTGTTGCTTCACAGTGGGAGCGTACTGGAAAGCCATTCAACCCACTTCTGGGAGAAACTTACGAATTAGTTCGGTGAGGTCTTTTGCTCCATTCTAGATGGCTTATTTAATGTGCATGATTTACATAGATTTTTTTCAATGAAGGAAGATGGGTATTTTGAGTTTCCCTAAACAATTTATTTATTTATTTACTTACTTACTTACTGGTTTTTCAAGAAACGGTTTCTCTGTGACGCTTTGGAGCCTATCCTGGCACTCGTTCTATAGACCAGGCTGGCCTCAAACTCACAGAGATCCAACTGCCTCTGCCTCCCGAGGGCTTCGATTAAAGGCATGTGCCACCAACGCCCAGCCTAAACAATTATTTTTGACTGGAGCCTAATAATTATTTTGATGTTTATGTCTGTGAAAATAGACATTCAATATACCACCATAAAAATTAAAAAAAAAAAAACAATAGCAAGGTTTTAGTGTTCCTGATCTTCTGGGATTCACTATCCTCCTTTTTTAGGTAGATAACAAGACATGATCAGGGTTTTAGGGTTTCTATTGCTGTGATAAAATGACCAAAACCAAGTCTTAGAGAAAAGAGCTTATGTAACTCACAGTTCTATATCTCTGTTCATCGTCAGAAGCAATGAGGACAGGAACTCACTCAGTGCAGGAACCCAGAAGCAGGAGCTGCTGCAGAGACCATGGAGGGGTATTGCTTATTGGCTTGCTCAGCCTGCTTTCTTGTAAAACCCAAGATCATAGCCCAGGGATGGCGCCACCCACAATGGCTGGACCCTGCCACATCAATCACTAATTAAGAAAATGTTCTATAGACTTGCCCACAGCCCAGTTGTATGGAGGCATTTTCTTAACTGAGGTTCCCTCTTTTCAGATGACTTTATTTAGCTTGTGTCAAGTTGATATAAAACTAGCGAGCATATCAGGACAGAAACTCAAAACAGGAACGTAGAGCAAGAACTGAAACAGACCATGGAGAAGTGCAGCTTACTGGTTTGCTTGCTTGTCCTGCTTTCTTATACTATCCAGGACCACTTACCCCTGGGGGCAGCCCTGCCCACAGTGAGTGGGTCAGGTTGAGTCTCCCACATTAATCATTAATCAAGAAACTGTCTTATAGACTTGCCTATAGGCCAGTGTTATGGAGGCATTTCTCAATTAAGATTCCCCTTTTCCAGATATGTCTGGGTTTGTGTCAGGTTGACAAAAACCAACCAGTACACTAGGAACAGTGACATATGTCATCCTAACATTCAGGAGGCAAAGGCAGCCTAGTTTACATAGTTCAGGCCAGCCAGGTTACATTATGAGACATGAGACATTTATTCTTCCCATTCTTCTCCATGGCCATATTAATATATGTATTACCTTAGAAGTGGTAATTCTATAGGTTTCTGCACTAGCTTGTTTGTTGTTTATATGTGAGTAGGGGGATTCATTTGCCTTTATCTTTTCTGTGTCTTCCTCCTTTTCCTAGCACTTATTTTGATAGTATTTATCATATAGATATTGTAAATACAAATGCCATGTTTCTCATATAAAAGGAATGATGTTTTAAATCTGATGGGTAATTGTAATTGTAAGCCCCTTGAGGTAGTAGCCAGGCTCTGCCCCCAGACTATACTCTGCTACCTGCCAGCTGCTATTTCTAGTCCCTCGAGGTACAGGCAGCCAAGCTCCATCCTACAGAGAAAAAGAGCTCAAGATTAAGCCTCAGAATTCCACCAAACCCAAGGCACCCTGGAAAGCTCTGCCCCCTTCCCAAATCCTTATATTAAGCCTGCCTCTTTCTCAGTTCTTTGCTGTTTCTCTTCCAAGCAGAGACAGCCACTCTCCTGTGTTCTTCTCAGTAAATCTCTTGTGTGAGGTTTGTTGTGCAATGTGACTTTGTGGTATTCCTTGGCTCTGTGCCCCTGAGAGCTGTAACACTTACAGTAATAGTCATTGTTCTCGTTACTGTAATCAAACACAAAGTCTGAAAGAAGGAAGAGCTTGCTTTGCCTTGCAGTTGCAAGGATACAGTCAGATCATGGCCGGGAGGGCATGGCTGTAGGAATGTGTGGAGGCTGCTTCCATCGCACCTGCAATCATGAAGCAGGGAGCAGACATGGTGAAGCCTCTAGTGAGTCACTTCATTAGGACCTCCTAGAGGTCTCACAGCCTTCCAAAACAGTGCCACCAGCTGGGGACCAAGTTTTCAAAACACAAGCTTGCAGGGGACATTTCACATTCAAGTTACAGCCATACTGTTTGTGTACATCTCCCAAGGTCATATGAATGTTCTGTGTTTTAATATGTCCAAGTGGCAAGCTCCAACAGCACTGGACAAAGTAGCTTGCTTAGCTTCTGTTTGTGCTGCTCCTCATTTTAGGGGGTACTGTAATAAGGATAATAAAAATTGTTTTTCCTCATTGACCTTTTCCCTAAGTATTTTAACACATTCAGTGACAGTTCAATTACACAGTACATTTTTCTTTTTTTCTTTTAATCTTAAGAGATGACCTTGGATTTAGACTCATCTCAGAACAAGTCAGCCATCACCCGCCAATCAGTGCATTCCACGCAGAAGGGCTAAACAATGATTTCATCTTCCATGGCTCCATTTACCCCAAACTGAAGTTCTGGGGAAAGAGTGTAGAAGCAGAACCTAAAGGGACCATCACCTTGGAGCTTTTAGAGCAAGTACAGGAGAGCCGTTCTTGCTGGAGTGTGCCTGTGTGTGCCTGCACATGCACAGACAGACCACGCTGTTCCAGCTGGGAACAGGAGAGACACGGGGTTTGAGTGTTCACTTCCGCCCGAGTGAAAGATGCACAAAACATGGCGGTAGCCACTGTCAACTGGACTGGATCAGCTGTAAGATAACTCCATGGCAGCTTATAAAACTAGCTGTCTGGATACCATGGTGCCCATGATTTGTTAAAAGGATCCTTCTAAACTAATTCACCATGAACATTTTTGAAGTGGCAGTTGTGTGTTGTGTTGGACATCAGGTTGTTTGGGAGCTCTTGTGCAGGGTTAACTTTAAAAGCCAAGGCATTTCTAAGTAAGCTCATACTCCACCCTCTCCCACCTGCTGACTTGGGGCAGGAGCCACAAAGCAACATTGTGGGACTTTGAGCAGTAAGGACAGCAGACTGGGGAGAAAAGTCAAATCCTCAAGACAGCTTGGCAATAAGATTCCTGATTTTATATTTTCTTCCATGCTAAGAGTCTGAGCAGCCAATTACAAAATGACATTAGAGGTAAACAGAAGAGGTTCCCAGAGACCTTCTTGTCTCTCCTTAGATAACAGAGAGCCCCTCAGAGATTTGGTTTACCTCCTAGCCTTCTCCTGAATCGAATGCCCAGGCCACTGGTGCTCGTCTGTAATTGCTGCTGCTACAGCAGCCACAAGATCTTCAACTGAGAAAATACTCAGCAGCCACAGGAACTGAACAAATGTGTAAGAACAATTGCTGCTGTCCCAGAGGCAGGCCCAGAGAGTCTGAACTCCAGTTTAAGAGCACAGGGGGTGTCCTGCAGGAAACAAGCGTGGGGCATTCCTCTCCTAAACCTGTCCCCATGGCCTTCACCCCAAATGGAGCATTAAAGGTCTCGAGATCTGAGCACTGGTGGCCCTAGGAACAGATGGATCCCAGCATGGCAGGTGGGAATCATCTGAGGAGCACTGCAAAGACTTTCAATGCTCACAGAAGGAAACCTAAGACTTATGGCCTGATATCATGTTAATTGCCTCCAATCAAAACAAAAGTCAGTATTCTCTAGAATTAAAGAGACTTGCAAATCTCATAAAACTCAAATATCTGGAATATAATTTAGAATATTTGGCTTTAGTAAGAAACTGAAAAAAAAATCAACAACTCACAGTGAAAGGGCAATCGACAGCCTCTAACCCCAGGTACTGAAATTTCATCAGTTAGAAGTGGTTGTCATTGCTGTTACTGAAAATAAAGGTAATCACTCAGATGAACAGGTGACTATTCTAGCAAAGACAGGGAAGTATTTTTGGATATTTTGGTACTGAAAATGTGGCAAGGGAAATACAGTGGCCAGAACACTCAGGAGCAGCATAAAGATGGTGGAGTATGTAGGAGGCTGGGGCTGAAACTAGCAGGATGGAGGAACACCCACTGGAGCTTCAGTCCAGCTGTGATGTTGATTCTTCTCAGTGACCTGCAAGTAGTCTCTGTAAAACCAGACCAAAGTCTCTGGAGGAAGAGGAGGAGGGTGTGTGTGTGTGTGTGTGTGTGTGTGTGTGTGTGTGTGGAGGCCAAGGGCTGACATCAGTTATCTTCCATGATTACTTTCTATTTATATATTGAACGGAAAACTGATTGAGCTAATCTAGCCAGCTGACTCGCCCAGGGGATCCCTTTTCGTCTCCTCCTGAGTGCTAGGGTAAGAGGAAGGCTGCTTCCACCTGGTATTATGTGTGTTCTGGGATGCAGACTCTGGTCTTTTCATGTCCGGCACATGCTCAAGGGCCGACTCCCTGAGCCCTGGAGGGTATTCTGTAGGCATAAAGGAGCTGATTCCAAATTTATGTGGAAAAGCAAATGAAATAGAACAACTAAAACTACTGGCAGTTTTGAAAAGTAGAAAAAAAAAAAAAAACTAAGGATGCTGAGCTGAGACCAAGATTGACAATCGACATGAGACACCTCAGTGGTGTTAACAGTGGCAGAGCAGGGAAGAAAGTCTGGAAATGGGCTCCAGAAAGTCATGGTCAGTGTAAATCACAGACTAAGAAAGCCAAAGTATAAAGCTTTTGGGAGAAAACAGAAAATGTTGAGTTTGTGTTAAGTGGAGAACTCTTATGTAAACACAGTGTGAAAAGCCCAATGTACTTTAAAAGACATGATTAAAAACTGGATTGAGTTTAAAGTTCTCTGAATTACACTGTGCAGGGTATAAAAGAGAAGCTATAGAGTATTAGAAATGATATGCCTAACAAAGGCTTCTTGTCTAGAATGTGTGAAGACCCCCTGAAATAGTTATAACTACAAATAACCAAAACAATTTTTTCAAAAGCAAAGATTTGTACCATTGTGAGTTTTGAGGTTTGCTTAGTTGGTTTGGCGTAAACTGGATCAGATCTCTGGAAAATGCCAAATGGACTTTCATTTTTATTTTCTACCTCTAATTTTTCTGTTCATATTTCATCAAACTTTTCAGTGATATAGAGGTTGAATATTCCTTTTCAGAGAGTTTTGGGAGATGAGTATTCCGTATTTAGGAGACTTTGAATTTTAGAATGTGTGTAGATCTTAAAGTTGGATGAACATACCATCTGAAAGTCCAAGATCCAAAAGGCTCTGGAATCCAAGGGTTTTTGATTCTTGTGTCAGTTTGTAAGCATTTGGGAGTTTGAACTTTTGAACTTCAACTTTTGGTATTCAACTTATGTATAGTTTTTTAAAACAATACGAACGGGCAGGTAATGCCTGTTTTACTGTGAGTTAATATCAGTGTGGGGTGTGTTGTGTGCATGTGCATGCATGTGTGTGTATATGTGCCTACATGTTTGAATGTGTGTGGGGAGACCAAAGGTCAATATCAGGTGTCTTCTATTGCTGTCTACCAGATTTTTTGAGACAGTGTCTCACTGACTGGAACCAGTAGGCTCCTGGCATCTGCCCGTGTTCCTGCTTCTGTGGCTATGGTTACAAATGCATGCCACACCCTGCTTTCACACAGGTGCTGGGTTTGAACTCGGTCCTTGTGCTTGTGAAGCAGGCGAGTTACCCACTGAGCCAGCTCCCCAGCCTGGTTTGTTGTCCTGAATGACACTTTCAGCAAACTCATTTTTTTAGACTAAATGTTTCTTCTCAGCCACTTCTCTGGGTTTGGGGCTGTTTTTTAGACACAATGAAGCATACACATGGACAAACCCCACCTGTTGTGTGCACAACATCATCGTGGGCAAACTCTGGATTGAACAGTACGGCAATGTGGAAATCATCAACCACAAGTAAGGCACACTCAGGTTTGCCTGTATACTTCCTTTCTTCAATATCGTCCAAAGGCTTTATTCTCTGATGGGATTTAAGAACCGGGAACAAAGCCCTTCCATTTATAATAATGTCTGCTGACATCTCCACATGCACAGACTGGACAGAGCCTCTGCCTCCCTGGGGCTGGCACCAGCCTCCCCATGCTGCCCATCCTGTTACCTTGTGTCACTGATTCAGGGTAGGGTGGGTGAGGTATAAGAACTGTGGAGTTATTTTGAAAATTAGTTTTAGATCCTGTCACGATTTTCTATGAATGCTCCTGAGCTTTTCCTTTTGCAGGCAGTGCTGATGGAGGACAGGGGTGGGTGCAGAGAGTCAGTCTGCAGTGCTGCTGGAGGACAGGGGTGGGTGTGGAGAGTCTGTCAGTCAGCAGTGATAATGGAAGACAGGGGTGGGTGTGGAGAGTCTGTCAGTCAGCAGTGATAATGGAAGACAGGGGTGGGTGTGGAGAGTCTGTCAGTCAGCAATGATAATGGAAGACAGGGGTGGGTACGGAGAGTCTGTCAGTTAGCAGTGATAATGGAAGACAGGGGTGGGTGTGGAGAGTCAGTCAACAGTGGTGGAGGAGGACAGGGGTGGGTGTGGAGAGTCAGTCAACAGTGGTGGAGGAGGACAGGGGTGGGTGTGGAGAGTCAGTCCGAGGTACTGTGACCAAGAAAGTCATCCCATGTAAGTTCTCAACCGCTTCTTTGGCATTACATGGTCATGCGAACTTAACCTTTCCTTTGTAGGACTGGGGACAAGTGTGTGTTGAATTTTAAGCCATGTGGTCTTTTTGGCAAGGAATTACACAAAGTTGAAGGCTACATACAAGATAAAAGGTAAGGTTTCTTTTTTCCACATTGACTGCAAATGATTATTTAGATATTTGTGTTGAAGTATGCTGCCTGATAAACCATCATTCAGATAACAGAAAAGTCTTCCAAAGGAAAATACCTATTTCTTTATAGGATGGACTTACAAAAATAGAGCAACAGTTACAGCACAACATGGGCTTACTTGGTGACTAAACAACAGTTTCTCTTGATAGCAAAAAGAAACTCTGTGCTCTCTACGGGAAGTGGACTGAGTGCCTCTACAGCGTTGACCCCGCCACTTTCGATGCTTACAAAAAAAATGATAAGAAGAACACAGAAGAGAAAAAGAACAGCAAACAGGTAACACACACTGAAGGTGCTGCCGGCAGCCAGGCTCTTGTATGTGTAGAGATGCCTGTCCCTGGAGCCAAGTGCTGCTAATACCTGTCTTCTTCTCCTTGGCTCTTTTGAATGAATAGACATCTGTTCCCTTTAGTGGAAAATGGCAGGCTTGAGCTAGTGACTGGGGCAGTGTCTCACTTCTGTGTGCTGTATTGACTTGATGGTTGTCACTTTGGAAAGTTGGTGCCCATCTTGATGCAGTGATGGGTTTTCCCTCCTGTTCTTGTGTATTAGAGGTAGAAGTGGTCCAAGTAGGGAAGCTTTACTCTGGAGTGATGGCTCCCACTTGTGAGCTTTACCTGTTCTCTGTCTTCTCCATCACGAAATCACTGATGTTAATGCCATCCCAGGTCAGGCTGTTGGCACTGCACTGTTCCTTCATGCTGGTAAGTGGAGGTCTTTGCTGGACTTTGTGAAGGTCTCAACAGCCTATGTATGCTCTTGGGTGAGATCAGTGAAGTCCTTTTTGCTCCAGGTATGCCCCCTGTCTAACAGCCACGCCTTGTCTGATGGCTCACTAAATGTGCAGACTCTTAGTTCCACTCTCCAGACTCAGATCTACCAAACCATAAAGCTGAGGTTTGTGGGTATTTCTTTTCTTTTAAAACATTCTTCCAAGTAGCATACTAAATGCCTGGTTTTCTTTTGACATCTCCATACATATGTTTGCTCCTACTTACTGCCTTATCACCCCCTCCCTGTTTCCTGTTCTCTTCTTGCCTTTCCTCCTTCTAAATACTCCCACTTTTACTTTTATGGTGTGCATGGGTATGCCACCTAGATCCTCTACATGCGAGAAAATGTGTGCTGCCTGTCAGCGTCCAGTTCATTTCGTTACACATGATAACCTCCACTTCTGTTCGTCTCTTCCTTGACTCTTAGGCGTGCAAAGGTTTGAGAAGCTCTTGTTTTCCTCAGAGGTGGATGGCACATTTATTTATTGTTACTTTGTAAATTAGGAACTAGCCTTGGGCCTGAGGGACAGTTTTGTTTAATGCCTGGAGCACACAGCTTTGGTGTGCCTTAGCCCTTCCCTTTAGCAGTGTGGGCGTAGCTCTTCATGTTCCTGCCTGCATGAGTCTCCTCTGGGAGGCCTACCCACTGTCCTTTGTGGGATGAAGAAGGAAATGTCCCAGAATCCCAAGTCACTGACACAGACTGCATGTGACAAAGCTCAGGCCAAAGCTCCACTAAGAGAAGGAACTTAGCAAAGACAACTTCCTCAGTACACTTGTCATTCAACCCTCTGACATGGTGTGGACAGCAAAGGACTCTGGCCACATGCCAGAAAATACTCTCACAGTCTACTCTTTATAGGAAAGCGGGCTTCCCCTCAAGCCTTCACCCATGGTCTGCCATCTCCTGCCAGAGCACAGCCCTCCTGAAGTCTGTTGCTGTCCTTTCTTGGCACCTTGCCACAACTTGCTGTTGAACCACTGTGCATTCACTGAACGGGCCTCAACCAGAAGGGGCAGTTTTGTTCGCTGATGTTGAGGATTTCACTGAACCTTTTGAATCTTTGAGTTCTTTATGTTTTATGTTATGATACTAACAGCTTCTCAAAGGTCTAATCCTCGAAGACTAAACATAGAGTGAGTAGCAGAACTCTGGTCCATGGGGAGGGAGGCCAAGGAAACCACCGATTTCCTTTTTTGCCTGACATTTTTGTAAGTTCTTTTTGTCAGCTGCATTGAGGAACCCTGCTGGTTCTATGTCATTGATGAATTTAGTTAAGTGACCCAGAATGTACTGTTTTGTTCTCAAATGTTTGCGTACATTGGCTTTTGCCTCTCTCCAGTGTACATGGGTTGCCTGTGCCTTTAGTATGTGGTTCATGGGTTTTCAGGCTGTTCCTGTACCACTCTGTATCCCAACCCTGGGCACTTTGAACTTCTTCAGTAAGTACTTGTTATTTTGTGTTTCAAAGACCAGAAACCTTAACAGTATAGTAAAGAAGGAGAGTGGCAACAGTGCCTTGAATGTTAACATAGTAACCAGAATAAGACTGAGAGTCCCGGACACTCAGCATGTCATTCATGGCCAGAGAAGGGACAAGCAGAGAGCACCCCAGAAGCCCTTGTGGTCTCTTTTCAATGGTGTTTGGATAAGCAGAACCATCTTCTCCTCCCTTCCACTTCAGGAGCAAGCATGCTTGCTACTTAACTCCTCACTGCTGTGGCAGGGAGGCCCTGCAGCCAGCTGGAGTCTATAACCACCCTCCTGACCTGCATCAAGGGGACTGCCTGCCAATGCTGCTCTGAAGAGCTGGGGATGACCCTTCCACTAATAATGCAACCATCTTGGGGCTCCAGGGAGAGCCCCTAGAAGCTAAGGACACCGTGGAAGCCTAGTCCTTTCAGATCCGTGTGCCCTGGCTGTGTGCCTGCACATATCTGGGCCTCTGCCAGACCTTTTGGAAAGCTGCTGTCTGGACAAGGAGTCTCAGCCACTCTGTGTGTGCTGTGAGACCTGGCTCAGTATTCAGAGAGAATAGTGTATATTTAAAACCTTGCTTGGCCTTTTAGACAAGTTCATCTGAGGAGTCTGATGAAATGCCGGTGCCAGATTCTGAGAGTGTCTTCATTATCCCAGGAAGTGTGCTCCTGTGGAGGATAGCTCCTCGGCCTCCCAACTCTGCTCAGGTGAGCCCGGGCCTGCTAAATATAGTATTTGATAGCCAGCTTGCATGGTGCCCTTCCTCAGCAGCAGAGCCTAAGTCCTTTTAATTGTCTCATGCTGCCACCCATATGTCACCTTCCCTCCTTAACCAGAGGGAAACTGGTAGGTGTGCTGCATGAAGCTTCACTGGGGGTCTCTTCAACAGACATGGAGGTAACACAACCCCTTGTTAAACAGACTGAAGCACTTGACCTGTGGAAACCATCTAGCCCCAGCAGGACATGATTTTAATGGAGGAAGCAGGATGGATGTGGGTATGCTACCCTGTGAGGTTACTAGGAGCTGAGTGTCCACAGGATGGTACAGATACAGGTGGAGGCCGTTAGCCATGTCCTCTGACTGGCACTATGGCCAAGGGAGGTGTCACTACCAAATTAGATGCCTTCTTTCAGGGCTTTCTGCTTGGATTTGGTAGGCATTGACTTAATTGATGTTTTCATTTCAGATGTATAATTTTACCAGTTTTGCGATGGTTTTGAATGAAGTAGACAAGGAGATGGAGAGTGTGATTCCAAAGACTGACTGTCGGCTGCGGCCTGACATCAGAGCCATGGAGAATGGAGAGATAGGTGAGGGCAATGCTTCTGGTCGCTTCATTCCTGGTCTTTGTTAGCATCATTTCAGTACTCAGAGTTTTAGCCTTGGACACTTTTATGATAAAATTAGCAATACTTAAGCTCAAACTCATTGCTTGAATGGTGCTCAATATGGAGTACACTGCACTGCATGTGTCTAGAAAAGATTCAGTTAAAGGACACTGGGCAACTTTAAAGTGTAGTCTCCAAACTTCACTATGTATTTCACAGTACGTACAAAATACCTCGTGAGCCTTCTAAGAGTGTGACTTCCTCTGCAGTATACATTTAATCTTAAAATGTGAGACTCCCCTTCTGGGAAATGGCTGCTTTACTGAGTAGTGCTTCTAGCCTATTCTTATCATCACAGGAAACTTCAGTGTATCAGGGTTCTGACAGAGATTTGGATTCTCTACAGAACAAAGGCATTTTGTAAAGTTGTTTGAATTACTTAGGAATGGAATTAAGGAAATCTCAGTTCTCACTCATAATTTTCAATAATCTCACTTTTAATTCTGTTTTTATTTGTGGTCTTAATAATAAGCATGTTGTTTTGGTTAAAGCAGAGGCTGCTGAATGGTGTTTGATTAAAGCACATTATATGTATGTATGAAATTCTTACACAGTGGAAAGCAAAAAACAAAAAACAAAAAGACATGACTGACAGATGCCAGCTCTTCCTATGATTAGTCTAAAGAATGTTCATTTTTTTGGCTAATTATTTAGTTGGTTCTAATTATTTATTGCTCCTAGGGCTTGATACATGCTAGGCAAATACACTACTACTGGCATATATCTCTAGCTCTCCATTTTACGTTTTGAGAAAGGGTCTTACTAAGTTGCCCAAGCTGGTCTTGAACTTATGATCCTCCTACCTCAGTTTCCAAATATCTAAGATTCTACCAGATATGTGCCCCGAGTCTGCGCTAGTGGGCATCAGGATTGGATCTTCACTATAGTGCTGAATAGTGAAGGTCCACATGGACAGTGCTGTCTGTAGTCACTGTTGTTAGTGCCATGCCTGGCATTCCCAGCATAACATGCTTTTCATTGGCCTCATTTTAGATCAAGCTAGTGAAGAAAAAAAACGACTTGAGGAAAAACAAAGAGCTGCCCGCAAAAACAGGTCCAAGTCAGAAGAGGACTGGAAGACAAGGTGTGTGACCTCTTCAGTGTGGCTTAGCCATCTAGTAGGCTACTGTGTGAATGACAGAGATGTCAGACACTGTGAACTACAGGGCAAGGGTCCATAGCTCTGCTGATCTGTTCCAGGCCTCAAAGGACACTATTTCCAGAATACAGTATTCTAAAGTGTTAAAACCAAGAGTTGTGTTTGTAACAAGAGAAATGACTTGAGAAGTTAGTTGTGTCTTACACAGTCTCTACAGGCAAGATTGGTTAAGCATTTTATCTTTTTTCCTTTTCCAACATTCCTTCAGTGTTGAAAAGGGGAAAGTACAATCCAGAGTTAGATTTGGACACGAAAATACATTTATTTCTTCACATCTTTTGAGTAAATTACAGGATCATTCATGTGTGCATATATAATGGATCATTAATTTAGGTAGTGCCTTTTCTAAACACAAGATTAGATATGATGGAATTGGGATTTAGAAAAAATACTATGTTGGGCAGTATCAGATATCTGACTTTTGATTGGAATAAGAGTTTTGTTAGAGTTCCTTGTAACTGCTGTTTCTTGATTCACTTAAGTAAATATTTAAGCCAGCATGGGCATATTTTTGCAAGCATTCCAGTAGACATGATAGTCATTTCACATCTTACAAAAAGATCTAGAAATGCTCTTACAGCATCTACCCCAATGAGTGTTTTGGATTTTATTCCCATAATCTTGCCAAAGAATGAGTAAAGGCAGACGGCTGCTATGGTTGAGTGAAGTGGCAGTACCTAGACAATTCCTCACCTTCCTTCCCTGTGTGTACCCCAGGTCTCTAAACTCGGGAATACAGTGTAAAAGCTGCTCCCAGATGCTGGAATGCTTCTATGCTCTTCTGTGCCTGGCTTGGGTGCTCCATTTTTTTTTTTTTTTTGAGAGACAGGGAAATCATCCAGGCAGCTCATTTGATAATTGGGCAGATTAAAATGAAAGCAGGTGTAGCCTAGGAATCCAAATCGAGACCCAGTAAAGTCTAGACTGGGTTAATCTCACTGGATATACATGGCATAGCAGATGAGGAAATCTTAGCCTATGAGTGCAGACCTGTGTGCAGCCGTTGCCAATTTGGCCAACAGTCAGCTCACCTGTAAAATGGAGGTCATATGAACCCTACAGGCACTGTACATCCTGCCTGCTGCAGGTATGTGTTCCTGATGGCATCACAGAATGCCTCCTCATGGGTGGTCACAGGTAGGACAGATCACAGTACTCATTGCTAACTGCCTGAAGATGTGTGGATACGTATGCTCTGTCTAGAAAAACTATCACTTTAGGGTCTGTAAGGAAATCCATGACACAGAGCCAACTACTGTAAGTGGTTAAATGACAGTGTCCTGTGTGTGAGGTTTGAGTCATTTGTTCTCTAAGTTTTACCCTTTCTCACTGGACAGGTGGTTCCATCAAGGCCCTAACCCGTACAATGGAGCACAGGACTGGATTTACTCTGGCAGCTACTGGGACAGAAATTACTTCAATCTGCCTGATATTTATTAAAGTGCGGAGAAGTCAAGGTGTTTGGCTAATCTGCATAAGTCTTAAGCTTAAGTTTCTAAAAATTTGCCCTGGTTTCTACTCCTCTATAATTTGCATTTCACCCAACAAGGTAGGTAGGGCATATGGTCATGGCGGTGATGGTCCTAGGGGACACGAGGCATTTTGCTTTACACCTGCTTACTTGGAATACTGTTTATGCAAAGGAAGAAGCTGCTGGAGGTGCTGTTTCTAGCCCCACTTGTGCCCGAGGGCTATACCTAGTCTAACATTCAGCTTTATGGAATTCTATAGTGATCCAAAAATATTGAATATTTTATGCTGTTATGCTTGAGTATCTTAGGTGTAGCTTTGAAATGTTTAGAATTCTTCTGTACGATGTTGTGTGCTCAGATGTAAAGGGTAAAGGGTGTCATTTTATAAAAACTAAATTGGTAAGATGACCTTTCAGGGAAACTCTCAATATTACTTTCCCACCTCCAAAAAGGAGTGGAGGGCTGAAGCAGAATTGGGAATTTCTGATTTGGTATTTACTTATCTTAGAGCTCTTACTTTCACATTCTGTGATCACTGACACTAGAACTTACGAAGATTTATGACAAACAACTTCCAGTGGCAAATGCCACAGAGAAATTAAGCTACACTCCTGTATTATAATCCTGTACAGTAGCTTTGCCCCTTTAATTGGGGCAATCTCATAGTGTTTATCCAACCAAATCCCAGAATGATCTCTGCTCTAAAGGGTTAGGTAGCTTCCAATAAGTTATTTTAATTGTATTTTAAAGTTAACAAGTGTTATAATGATGCTAAATAAAGGCTTTAGAATATTGAAAAAAAAAAGTGTGAACGCTTTCAGAACAGAGTCGCTGCCTAGCTGATACTGTGTTGATTATGTGCATGTACACCAAAACGTGCAAAGTTTTATGCTTGCAGGAAGTTTATTGATACAGTTCACATGGTGACAGGCTCCACCTCGAATGCTGACTCAGCATCATTTCAGCATCTGTAATGAAGAGACATTGAACTGTTTAAATACAATGAAACAATGAAACTGATCTAGAACTGCCACCCCCTCCCAGCCCCCAAAACCACAATGGCTTAACTCTGCAAAAAAAAAAAAAAAATGAATGGACAGTTAGTATCTCAAAGAAAAGTTGTATTCTCTTTTTAGAATCTACCACATCCTTAAAGGTGACTGGGTATTCATAAACAGCTCTGTAGTTGGAAGCCAAGAGCATAATGTGAAATATACCCCCATTAGTATCAAGTGTTAATTAGTATCAAGTATTAACTGTCCCAGACTTAAAGTGTTTAAGGCTTGGCTGTGTTAAGGCCCACGTGTCAAGGTAGGAAGGGGTACCTACTCTTTTAAGGTTCTGCTCTGCGGACATGGGCAGTAGTCACAGTAATTTCACCAGCAATACCATAACTTCCAAAGGGAGTACGTTTGTCACCAGATCCTGAACTCTTTTTAGCTACATCTTCTACTGGGAAAGCAACAGAAAGAAAGACTGGGCTTTTCGGTCTGGGGCCATCTTGTCCACTTGTTGGAGGACTAGCATTCTGGGGATTTGGGGCAGGTCTCTGGAATGTCTGATCTGCAGGAACAGCAATGGGCACTTGTACTGTAGCATATCTCTTCAAGGCATCTGACTGTGACACAACAGCATGTCCAGAAAGAGGCTTCCAATCCTGTGCTTCCTGAACATTTGAACCTACTAAAATGAAAGGTGGGGCACTGGTCTTCTTGCTGTCATCCATCATCACATAGGTTGGAGAAGTGACTTTCGGTTTATTCTGCAGAAACTGTGGATCCTTAGGATTAGGTAAATAGAGGGTTGCTTGGGGAAAAGGCCCAAGTGCAGGTGGCGGTGATGGGCGACTTTGTTGATTCATATCAGTTAGACAATAAAGTGTCCACATATTAGAATATGGTGGTGGTTGTCCTGCTTCGCTTGTTGCTAGTGCTATAACAAAAAAAAAATTGCAGGCATTAAAGGTTTGGTCTCTGTATCAGGCACTATGCACAGTCATGTCTTTGTAAATCTTTTTTTTTCTTTTACATATAAATAAGCAACTTTAATAGTATGTGCCATAAAGCATGCTATAGAGAGGACTACAGAAATTGTGCCTGGTAATGTGAAGGAACAGAGTAATTCAGAACAGTTGGAAAAGGAATTGACAGTAACGGCAGGGACAGTAGAGTTGCGGCTAAAGAAGCAATTGTATTCTAAGTTGCTGTTTCCAGACTCTTAAACTGTTTTGGTTCTTTGAGACAATGTATCACTATGAGCCAAAGCTGGCCTTAAACTCTTAGTAGTCCTCCTGCCACAACCTCCCAAGAGCTAGAATTACCACCCTCCCTAACCAGAATCTTAGACTTTACCACATGGTACTCAGAAGAAAGTTAACAAAACTTTCAAAACCTCAACCATGTGAAGCCAATTAAAATCATGTAAGACAGTGTCTCCCCCTAAAGTCACCTAGGTGTCACCTAATAATATCCCTGGTCTTCAGGCACTGTCATCTCCCATCTTCAATCTATTACCTTATCTAGAAGTCAGAATCCCAGAGAGAGCCCCCCTTTTAGCCAAGACTGGGCTGGTGGACACTAATATAGAGCTAGAAAAGCCATCCATTGGCCTATAACGGGGAGCTATAGAGCAGAGTGTGGCTTGCCAAAGATAGGGACTCAAATGTGTCAAGGTGATATTTTGAACCCTAGGCCATCCATTCCTGATACAGCCTTTCTTTACGGAGAATTACCCTATGCATAGATGAAGGGATCCTTACTAAAAATACAATCCAAGTCTTCAGTCTTTCCAGATGGGAGAATCTAAGCCCTCAAACTGAGTTTTCTTGGGAACTTGTCCACTAAGGACAGCTGTCCTTCAGTAACAGCTAAGTGCCTGAAAACAGTGACTTGGCTTGAAGTGCCAGATGCTCAAGCCACAGGATAATGCCGGCCACACAGGCTGTGTGTAGCACTGCCCTCTGCCTTTCCAGCTGCGGTGAACCTGTCACACTGCCAGTCAGAATTTGATTTCTCAATACCTGCTTTGATAATATTTTTGTATATGGCTTGAGTCAGAGTTGAGAGTTTCTGCAAGAGGATTGGGATTGGGAGGCTTCTTTCTGGCATGTCCCCTCGGATACCCCAGGAAGGGCCACTGCAATACCCAGATAGGCATAGGTAGGCAGACCAAATGCCACAATCAGATGGAGATGGAGGTTACAATGCTTCTGTCAGGAGGAAAAGCTCCCCAGAGAGCAAGCAGCTTGACTTTGGTGTGCCTGGGGGTGAGGGACCAAAAGGTCCACCCATGTCAACTGCACACACACTGACACCGGTTTCAAGTGTGCAGCCATTCTTCCCACTGCTTTCCTGTCACAGAAGTTCCATCTAACCTGTCCTTTCTCCATCCAGCTATGACGCTGCTCCCTCAGCCACGGAAGGTCCCAAGTAGGAAGCAGTGTCTGAGCCAGCATCCCAAACCTGATTGCATAGTTCTCCTGACTCGGCGCGAAAGCAGTCAGCCACACCACCATTTCTTTCATGTTTTAAATGCCACAGCCCAAATAAATGCAGTGTTAGTGTTATGTTTCCCATATAATCATTTTATATACAGGCATTCAAAACCTAACAGATTCTTATGTTTACAATCGTGCAAAGTGAATCAAGCTTTGCCATCTGATTTTCATACAAAGCCTTTAATTAGGTTTGGCATTTAAAAACCCTGAAAATGGACTTGGGCCAGTTGGCAGGAGAGCCAAGCTGTAGGTTACTGAATACAGATGTCACCTGAAGCAGTGTGTGGATGTGCAAGTATCTAATTTTCTTACCTGGCTTCATCAAACCTGTTCAGGCTCATCTTCCCCATCTGGTTGAGTGTCAGGTTCAGTAAAGCCTCCTGGCGCAGGAGGGAAAGGGTCACCAGATGAATAGGGTGCAGAGTTCTCCCCTGACTCCTCCTGGCCAGGATTGTCAGGGTCTATGGTAACGATCTCCATTTCAAAGTGCAGAGAATTCTCAGAGGTTATTTTGATTAAGCGCTCTGCATCCAGGGGCTCTGCAGGCACCTCAGTCTGACCCTCAGAGAGCAGAACTTCTGCCTCCATATGTACTGAGGACTGGCGCTGGGAATTCTCCACCTGTACAATTTTCACAGACTCTATAGATATTTTAGACATGCCTGAGGAAGTCCTGGCTTCTACAGGTTTGGGACTAACTGGTGGTGACTGCTCATTTTCTTTAAGACAAGCAACTTGATCAATCGGGATAACTATGTATCCTGGTATCTGCTCAACATAGACAACTCCTTCATTGACAGGCACATCGTTATATACAGATGACACATGAAAGGTTGATGTAACCTGAGTGTCAGGAGCTTCATAAGCAGGAGGTTCTTGTTCACCCTGCAAGGGGGCTGAGGAAGCCTTTGGTGGTTCAGCCTCACACTTAGGACCCACAACTGCCTGCACAGATGTTTGGCTCATAACCTGCATTTCTAACATCTCTCCAGAGCACACCAGAGGAGCAGACACCACGACTTCTTCATCAATCTCTGCACTCAGGGCGTCCTGGGTACTTGTTGCCACGTCCACCATTAAAACTTCAGAATAGGTAGATTGAACATTACCTAACATCTGAGCAGCAAACTGAGCTGGGTCAGCCGGGACATAGGCAAACTCGGCAGAGACAGGTGCTGGAGGTGGTGATGAAGGTGGGGTGGTAGTCTTAGGTGTGGTTGGTTTGGAAGAAGGACCCCAAGCTCCTTCGTTTGACTCCTCAGACTGGACATCAGCATGAAGTGATGGAAACTGGGTGGTTTTGTTGCTAAATAGTGGTCCAGCTACATTGTCCTCCTCCGTGTCTGTGGATTTTTCCATCCGTGTAGGTTCGCAGGAACCTGGAAATGTTCTTCCCTGTTCCTTCACACACTCCTTCTTCTCCACTGTCACTCCTTCTGCCCATTTCTCTACTAAAAATAACAGCCAGGTGAAGTAATCAGCAAGCAGTCTTCAAAATGTTTTAAATAAAGCAACAGTAAGTTGAACTTTCAAATACCAATATACACAGATCACTGTGCAACATCTATGAATTTTCATAGCTAATGAACCTGCAACAGCTCATATCTACCTAAACACTACATTTCCTTAGAAACAAATGACCAGTATATATTACAGTGTAAAACTAGTATCATACCACTCCAAGCTGATATTCAGTTCCTAAGAGGAAGGAAGCTGGAGCCCTCCTGGTTCGTTGTACCACAAAAAAAAAGGGGGGACACTGAGGAGATGACCCAGTAGATAAAATATTTATTTTGCCCTGGCCATGTGAGAACTAGGCACGATGATTGAGTGTCACCTGAAATTCCAGACCTAGGGAAGCAGGGAGGTGCAGGCAATCCTGAGAGTGATGTAACTAGCAGGAGTTGGCAGGCTCTGGCTTTAGTGAGTGACTGTGCCTCAATAGTGTTATGTGGCCAGTGTCAGTTTTGGGCCACCAAATGTACCCATGTCCACACATGCAAACATGCACACACAAAACTACAAAACATGAACAAAGGAAAAACTAAAGACTAACGTAAGAAGCAAATGATTCCAGTTTCAGTTGGCATGGTAACTTAGAAAGGAAACACAGAGATGCATTCCTCCATTTAAGACAATCAGTATGCAAAGTTTAAAAATGAATTTGTCATCTGGAGCAATGTGGTTTTTCATATCAGGAAACATCATATATTCTTACTTGAAAATGGTCATATTTGCTGATGAGATAAGCTCATGAAGCCAAAATTATAACTGAAAAAGAAAAAGGAAGGAAGGAAGGGAGGGAGGGAGGGAGGGAGGGAGGGAGGGAGGGTGGCCATTGAATGTTTAAACCCGAAAAAACTCAAGGTCGCTGTAGCTGATGACTGAGTGCCCTGGACAACCAGTTCTGAGGGTCAGCAACCTCACCTGGCTAACTGCCTTGGCTTTCCACATTCAGTTTTCACCCCTGCTCACTGAGAAGTTTTCTCTTCAGAAAGCACAAAGTCAGCAGGAAAAGTGAGAAGTGATTTCTTCAGGTCAAGTGTTTGGAAGCCCAAACATGGTGGCACAGACCTGTGATTTCAGCACTTGGGAGACTGAGTGCCATGAGTTCAAAGTCAGCTGTAACTACAGAGCCTTTAATCCCTATTCTCAAAACCACAAGTATTTTCATAGGTTTGCACTACTTTCTATCCACTCTAGCTGCTAGTTTGTAAATTCAGTTCATAGGCCTAATTCTGGACACAGATGGCCACACTAAATGCTCCTATGCCAAGAAAAGTCACAAAAAGGAAAGCTACTCAACATTAATCTCACTTTTCTAACCATCTCTTCATAACTCCCCTGCCCCAGTCCTCCCTGTCTTTCATGCTAGGGATTCAATCTCAGACTTTACATATACTAAACAAGTATTCCACCACCAAGCTATATGGCCCTTTAACACTGTCTTTTCCCACCAACACACCTGACAGAGTGATTCTCTTACATGGAATACTGTGGTAGATGACAGTGCATAAAAACACTAGAAGATAATTTGAACATAAATATTATAGGTATAAAACATAAGAGCCTAATAAAGATATTAATAAAAATGTTGAGAGTGCAGGGCTCAAGAGATGGCTCAGCAGCTAAGAGCACTTACTGCTCTTCAGCAACCCAAGTTCTGTTCCCAGCACCCAGACTCCAAACTGCCTGTAACTGTAGCTCTGGTGGATCCAACACCTTTGGGCTCCTGCACTCATGCATGCACTCACACACATGAACACACACACACACACACACACACACACACACACACACACACACACACACACACATTTAAATAACAATGCATTTTTTTAACTTTAGAGTTCACAAATACTGAGGTTTATTTGAGTAAGCCTAACTTAATAGCACTCTTGTGCTTAGGATATATAGAAAAACAAAGCAATACCACTCCCATCTTGACAATATCAGTCATAAAATCATAACTTTGCTTGAGTCCAGACAGTTGAGATCATAATGAAGTTATCTGATTTCCATAAAGAACAGTCTCCCTCCACCCCAGAGGCACACCAGAGCTGACTCGGCCATGGCAGGGTGAAGGCAGGGTTTAAATGAGTTCACCAGACCCAAGATAAAAGATGAATAGGTTTTATTGGGGAGCAGCTTACACAGATAAGAGTAAAGAACTGCTGTGGCCTTCCTGCTCCAGAACATGTAGTCTCTGCCCTTCCCATGTGCTCCAAGACCTCAGAGAGCATGCTTGCTGCTCCTCTCTTTAAAAGAGTCACAACTGTACAAGAAACCATGCCCAAAAGGGTGTGGCCACTACTACAAATTCACTAGCAAGACAAGATGCCACTACAGCAGGGGTCAGACAGAAAAGACTACCATTTCCTGCTGAGAAGGTGACAGCTACCAAATGTGGCCTAGAATGTCAGTCCTGTGCCTCCAGAGTCAAGAGGAGTTTGTAATGACTGACTAGTACTTTTCTGCAGGCCTCAAAGGAATGATGGAGATGAGATAGAGCCTGTCTTATACCAAACAATGGCCACTTGGCCCAAGACACACACGATGGCCATGGATAGAGCCATAACCATTCTAAAGACACTAAACTCTGACAAATGGGAAGATGAGAGTGGTGATATTTGGCTCTCATGGACAGTTTAATCACTGACAAATGGGAAGATGAGAGTGGTGATATTTGGCTCTCATGGACAGTTTTCTTCCTCTATTATCCAACCACTTCTGGTTCTCGAACCCACCAAAAATGGTTTTCTTTCTGGGATTTTTCCAGGCAAATGATACATGCAGAGCATGTTCCTATCTCCATGCTTTCCATGAACACTGGGACCATAAAGTAATGCTGCTGGGCAGGCAAACTAACTACTGGACATAACTGGAGAACAGAATATCTTCAATGACTAGTCAGTCTTCACAAAACACATGCTCACATCTGATAGGAGTGAGGTAAGTGAACTAGGGCATAGCAGCTAGCTCTTGCACACATACTGACTTCTAATGCCTGGTGCTGTCTTTAGGTTGATTTTGCCTCACACTGAAAAGACTGAAAGAACAGAATAAGGATCAATTGACTTAGTCTTCCTAGAGTGGTTCATTTTCACAAGTCACTGATAGCCCAAGACAACTTCTGGTCTTTGGGATCAACCAGCAATGTATGTAGAATTATATGTGCCACCTCTACATTTAAACCTAGGATTCATACAAGGCAAGATACACTTGGGTAAAAGACAAAATGACAGCTGCTAAACCTATTATTTTTCTTGTAGAAAACTGAACAACCACATGACCAAATTTACTTACAGCTGTCATAAGAATAGCAGAAAATCTAACCAGTCAGAACACAGGGACCTATCATTCAGAAAAGAAAATAAACGACTGCATGGGAACTTCATGATGTCTGTCTGTCCCCCTCTTCAGTCCAGAATATTTAAAATTTTCTAGATATAGATGAATAATTCATGGAGTGTGTATAGGGGGAACCTAGAGTGATTGATGCAGTCTGTCTAGTAAGAAGCTATTTACAGTGACAACATAAGGGAAAACAAATGAGCCAAGGCGGTATCAGACAACTATGCTCTGGCACACTTTGATAATGCCTCATGACCTCTCCAGTAAGCAGAATGAGCAGGTTTACCATTGTTTTACTTCCTAAAGGGAGATCTGTTTTATAGCCATATTGTGAGAGTTCTTTCAGGTATCTGTATGCTATGCCTATCTGTTGATATCTGTAGTTATTTGAAGAGATAAACAACCATATTTCCTTTAAATATGGCTGACCTGGAAATTAATTAAAAAACTTAAGATGCAAAACATTAACCTTCATATTATTAACCCACCTGCTAAAATGAATGTTGGATAAAATCTTCAATAAATAAAAAAACTCAAAATGCTATCAAGTAGCTAGTTATATTCCACCATAAAAACTCACTCTCTTGCCATTATAAAACAGGGTGAGCCTGCATGCTCACAGTATTTTCTAATGCAGCTCTTGTTTTGAAGACGCGAACACAATAAACTTGATTGAGAAACTAGGATCATGGATATAGGAAGCAATTTTCTTGTACTTGGTTTGTGTGTGCAGCTAAGAGTATATAAGCAAGTCACACAGTTTCTCACGGTTAGCTGATAATGTCATCAGGTGCTTGCAAGAAAGCATCGAGACAATGCAGGATTTCAGAAGCACTGCCCACGCCATTTTCTGCCCCTTCACATGCCTATGTTTCCTGTTTTCAATCTTGATTTCATGTTTGGGTATCTTTCACTGCAGAGCCAAACCATGGTATTTGCATTTTCCTAGATCTGACTCCCTAATTTTTCATAGGGAGTTATCTTTGACTCACAAAAATGACATGGTTTGGGCCATTGAGGCAAAAGTACCGCTAAGCCTGATGACCTTTGTCCCTAGGACCCACATGAGCAAAAAAGAAAATTGACTCTTAGAAGTTGTCCTCTGACCCAGACATGTACACCATAGCATGCACATGCACACAACACACACACACACAAAATAAATGCCAGGTTAAAAAATGATGGAGGTGCTGAAAAGATGGCTCCGTGATTAAGAGAGCTCATCGT